CCCGGGGGGGGGACTCCCTAATATCAAAGGGCGGGGGTCCTCGGCGGAGATTGTGAAAATGACCCCTAAAAGGGACCTCTATTGTGAGATGATGGGCGTGGCAGTGCTGAAATTTCAACCCTAAAAGGGACCAATCAATAACAGGTCATTTGTTTTGGTTTACCGATTTTATTTGTGTTTTTACACAATCATCGAATGACCGTCGGCTCGTATTGAGTTTAWDACGACGTTGCCATTTTATGACTGCTTAGGGCCACCGTATACCCTAAAAGGGACCACAAAACTCAGTTGGTAGGAATTTTTGTCATGATCACCCTAAGCGGGACCAAAATACTGATTTCAAACCCTAAAAGGGACGCCGAGGACCCTCGCCCTTTGATATTATGGAGTCCCCCCCGGGGACTTTATCGGATTTGACAGAATTGGTCAATGTACAATAAATATAGTTATACCGTACCGTCCTTCCGATAAAAGGTCTTCACCATTAAATAATGAATAATAATTTTAATTATCATTATTTTAATTATTATTTAAAAGTAAATAACAGTTGATGACGTAATGCGTGACGTAACGTAATTTAAACGAGACACTCAGGCCACTTTTCTTCATTTGAGGTCTGCAGCTAAATGTCGCCCGATCAGCTTCCTCGCTTTGGTTTTAACGCGAAAAGAGCTATTAGCCATGTCTGTGCTAAGTGCTGTGGGTCTTCAAATAATTTTCTTTGATCGAGGATGTGGAGATTTTTTCATTTTATTCGCCAGTTTCCATGGATTTGTCTTGTATATTAAAAATTTTCAAAGAAGACCAATCCTTATCAACTGCTAAAAACATGTGATAATGCACTTTGAAGTGATGCTAACGTGAAGTAGACGATCATGGATTGCTTACGTGGGCTTCCTGTAGCTGCGACAATGGGTCAGCTGCAGCCATTGAACTATAAGTATTTCATTTTCACGATATAGTCTTTGTTTGAAATAAGTCAAGACAGAATTAAGTCAATTAATATAAGTTATTTACTACATCATGATTTTTTACCAAACT